AAACACAAGGACCAATAAACAAGGGAAAGTGCTATTTTATATGTCCTTGCCTTTTTTTTGCGCTCTTTCATATGTTTAACTTAGATGAACCAACTAGCCCCACAACGTACACTACAGGACAATGCAGTTAATGCTAATGTGCAAGCGAAGTGCACAAGAATAACGATAATAATCTCTGGAGTATGTGAACAAGGGGACAAAAGACAAACGCAAATTTAAAAACACAGCTAGGTGACTGGTCCACGAGTGGAAAAATCCGCCTCGTCCTGGTATCGAACCAGGGACCTCTCCATTTTCAGTGGCGCGCTCTACCAACCGAGCTAACCAGGAGTCAAATTCCAGTAGAGCAGATGGGTTTTAACAGCTACAACAAGATTTTTTTTTTTCAGTTTGAGAATTGTGTCTGTCCTCTGTCCCCATTGTTCAACTTCTCCAGGGTTTATTATTGTTATTCCTGTCCAGCTCACTTTCACCTTTGCATTAATTGCATTATCATCTTAACCTTAAAATGCTGGCCGTTCACCCTTGTTGGTGTTAGACATGTGAGAGTAGCTAAAACTTGTTTGCTCTACTGACGTCTAACTTCTGGTCAGCTTAGTTGGTAGAGGTCTCCACTGGAAATGAAGGGGTTCCTGGTTCGATATCAGGAATCAGTCCCGTACCAATCATCTAGCCGTGTTTGGAGATTTGTGTTTGTCCTTTGTTACAATTCTCTAGGGATTAATATATTTATTGTCGTTCGTCTGTTTTAAGTCTTCCATTAAAAAGTCTTGGCTTCTACTAATGCTGTTTTCAATATGAAAAACACTGTCTCAAACTCTGTTACCAAACAACTGAAGCTAATAACAAAATACAAATCTTGCTTTTATTTCTTTCGGTAAAAAAATATACACCACACAATGCAAAGAAATTCAATATCGCCTGGACTCTTCTTGTTAGAATCGCGGAAGCCAAGGGGCCCATGTTCCATTCAAGTTGTTGGGCAATCCTCTGGGGTCAATCGGATTATTGATTGGAGGAACCGAGGACGAAGCATAGAACTGTATTCGTGAGTTGAGAAAATTTACGAGCTGAAAAGAAATACTATAGTTAGATTTAGAATTTGATTCACTGTCAAAACACCTAGGTTAGCCGATTATTTAACTATATTCACTGATGAAATAAATTGAAGAACAAGGATATACAGCCGCAATTCATTAAGTGTTCGTTATGTAGTGCCTTAAAGAAGCAGAAAGCAGAAACGACTCCACCGAAAGCAGAGCGATTCGGCAAACTATTCCATTGGAATTCGGGCAGCGTCCGTCTAGCGTCCCTCAGAAGGTTGAATATATTGAACTTATTTAAATATTGATTATGGTAACAGCTAATAATACAATTAATTGGTTAAGCCGGTAGCCGAAGACACCACCTAGTGGCTGTAAGTTCACAACAATATTACTTGATCTTTGTTTGTTCCTATCCTTCATTTTTCAATTTACTTTTTGCTTCCTATTTAAGAGGCAACCAAGATTATTTTATAAGGCTTCTTGTTTTCTAGCGGAAAGCACTCAACAAAAAAATATCAACAACACTTCTTGTCTTTGTTTTGTGTTTTTTCCAGTCTCGCTGTGCTCCGAACTCCTAATGACAGAAGAGGCTGGATACACTTCCACTAAATGCAAAGCGTTTAGGAAGCGAAATCGGTGCTCCCAGTAAATCCCCGTTTCCCGAGGGTCAATTTGAGATCACTCCAAGAGATCCTGCACCTTTCCAGATATTTGTTTTGAAATAATATGGCTTCGAAGCTTCAAAAAACATTTCCCAGCCGGCGTCTCGAATACTTATCAGGTTTCACATTAATCAAGTGTAAAAAATCTCGAAAGTTCAGGACAACAATACACACGTGCTCGTACAGTGCAAGTGATAACCTAAAGTTTAAAAATAACATCACATGGCTTTGGGTTCGAATTATACTAACGGCATACCGCTTACTGAATCAAAATGAAAGCAGGACACGTGGTTAGGAAGCCAGAAATGTGTTACCCACTCTGAAGTTCGGAAAAATATGTGGGCTATTCTCGCAATAAAACAACTAGCTTCGCATACCTCGTGTAATTTTGAATAACAAGTTTCCAGGCACGTAGTGACAGCTCGGAAAAATGTTCATCCGCAGTGCAAGCTTATGCGGAGAACAATCCGGAGAACTGCCCTCAAAGTCCGGTTCACACATACGTCGAAGCGCTATAAGAACACTATAAACTGTTCGCCCCTTAGCTCAAAGTGCAGTGAAAGCTACGCTCTCATCGGACGAATCAACTGCCTCGCTTTGATGGCCTGAGCCTCCTCTCTGTGCGCGGGGATAGGCGCGTGCGTAGTCACGTGGCGAAAGAGAGCCATATTGCTGGTCTAACGCTCAAGGGTGAACGGGATTTAGGAACAGCACGATTAAGAGCCGACTAGGACGGAACTAAGCTCTGAGGCAGCACTTTGTCAGCGCAGTATCTTTTCTGTAGCGTCAAATGAGCGCAGTATCAGCAAGATCCGCGCTGCTTTCAGTGCTGACTAGAGGCCGGTTAACACTTCTAGACTGCCATGAGCAACAGTTTTGGCGGTGCGATACAAAGCTGGTGAACGCTCCCATCAGCACGCTCGTAGCGCGAGGTCAGGGCTATGCTTGTATCACTCCGCAGCATGTGTGAACAGGCATTAAAAGGGTAGGGAAGCGATATTACGTGAGCGACGAGCTCACTGCTCCTCGCTTCAAAGTCGGCCAGCAAGAACCGCAATGCGTATCGCACCCGTGACGTCAATAGAGAGTTTTAGTAGATCGTTCCCATGACTCCGATAACGATATCCCGATACTTCGCCACCGCCTCCCTTGCGCATGCATAGTATCGTTATCGGGGCTATCGGAGGTATCGGAACGATCTACTAAAACTCTCTAATAGTTCGTGCATGGTCAAGGGTACTGTAGTGGCGAGTCATGCTGCTCGGTGGCGTCAACACGTGACAATCTCGACTTGTAGTGATATCCGGAGGCGAGAGCTTGAGGTCGCTACATTGAAGCGTCCTTCCGCAGACCGAGCGCTCGCTCTAGACATGCATTTCTCAAAGCCTAGATCTTTTGCTTGCTCGCAGTTGTAGTTTTGGCTGTAGGTCGAGCTTATGGATAAACGGAGTATAAACGCGTCAGCGTTCTCCGCCAAGTCACATTCAAGAATAAGTAACTCCACGAGCGTGCCATACCGCCGCGAGATGGCGCTGCTTCTTAGGAACTCATATGAACGAAGACCGCTGGGCACGGCGACTTTTTATCTACATTCACCTCAAGAACATCCATTCGACGTGGAGGAATCGTGTCACCCGCCTCGGCACAAAGTATGGAGCCTTTTGCATGAGTAATGAGCCTCAAGCTGAAAAAGATTGGGTGCGTAAAGTGCGCACCCAATCTCCTATGCATGCAAATGCATGCTAGCATGCATTTGCATGCATCTTTCAAGACAGAGATGGCTCCAATAACTTCTGCAGGAACACGCTGGGAATTCGCCTACTCATCGAGGCCCGCGGCGGTGCCCTGCGCACCAGACAGTACCGTCGAAAGTGTGACAGTACCGTGACGGACATGGCATGCAGCGCCTGTGGAGAAGACGAAGAGACCACCGAGCATTTGCTGCTAACGTTCCAGAGGCTCCTGCCAGCGCCCATCGGGGACTCCCGCATCCAGCAGGCACTCGGCTTCACGAATGGACGTGACCACGTGGTCTGCTCTAGGCAAAGACTGGAGGCGTGGTTGAAAGTGCGACGGCGATTTGCGCACCGAGAAATCATTGCCTACCGATTGAACCACCGTGATCCTGTAGCTGTTACCTCCGCCCACCAGGGGTCACCGAAGACAAATAGTGGGTCCTGACGACCTCCCCCCCCCCCCTCTCCCCCTCTTTCTTCTTTCCTTTTTTTTCTCACTTTTTCGGCGTGCTCAACCTTGACTCTCGTTTCAAAGAGATTGCGCCGCAGAATGCAATGCAATACAATCATGACGTCGTGGCATTCCAACGGAGCTTCACGGGCCGCCATCAGACGCAATTTTGAAATCTGTTTATTCGTTTTAAAATTACTTTTTTACTTCTCTGCCTCCAGCACAGAAGCAATTGTCTAGGCTAGTGTTTCTGGGCTGCGAGACTAACAAAGACCACAACTAAAAAAAAAAAAGGAAAAGTGCTAAAATTATGTTTTCCTACTTCTTTAATAGCGCTGAAGGGGCACCGTGCTGTATGTGTGAATAAGCTTCAACCTGCGAATGAAACCATACATCCCATAGCACTGAGTAAACTTTACGCTTAAAGAGCCCTTGATATTCAACACTATGCCAGCCGTTGCATTTAGATTGGGTTGCTTTGCGGCTACAGGCACTCTGCTAAGTTTCAGGCTGTTATCTTTTATGCACAATTCTTGATTCGGCAGGATTAAGTTTGGTATTCTGTGACCCACATTTAGTCACACATTGTTTTGAAGCATGTGAGTACATTACGCTTGCTGTATATATCCGCTGCGAAAGTGCTTTGTTCAACGGTTAGACACTCCCCCCAGAAAGTCATACTTGTGATACCGTCTTTAGGTAGGCGCAACAAGAAGTATGTTGAAAGTAGACGAAAGAGTGACCACTGCTTGCTGCAGCTATCGGGAGGTGGCGCCGCCAACAATGATTCAGTGTGACTCAATGGTCCGCGTCGAAGCCCGTCAGAGCCCGGTAAGATGCATTATTATCTGTGAAACCATCCAGATTATGTTCTAAGTGAAGAACTAAAGTGAACCCAAGAGAGAAAAGACTAGTCTGTTGCAGATTTATAATACATGGGCAAGACTCTCCCACAAAATATGCTCGACGTGATTAGTTTTATCCTCTCATCTCCCCCTCTCTCCCGCGTTCGCTCAACTAAAGTGAAAAAATTGTGGCTTTTTGGGGGCAGTTTGCTGTGTTTTTTTTTCTCAAAGAAATACGAAGTATAGTGCTGCAAACTCACTCCAACTTGTGCGCTTGCGATGTTGTTCTGCTCGCACGGATCGTTCGCCAGGTCAAACAAGTAGGGCGAAGCCTGCGAAACAAAGTTCCTCTGTACGTTCTGGTTGCAATAGACTGTCGCTCGCTGTCTCCAGTTCGTGGGCAGCAAAACACTTCCTGTGTTGTAGACGCCCCTGAGTATCCTGGCTGCCTTAGACTGTGCCATGAGGATTTCTAGGTCTCCGTACGGACGCGAGCCTCCGGGCGTTCGAAATCGCTGGTCGTACACCCCACCGTTGTAAGTCCCCAAAACCAGCTTGTAGGTCGTGTACCGAAGGGCCGAATACAAATCGACAGGATCGTAGTTGTACAGGACCTCGTAGCGCGAAGAAGGCAGGTTGTAGGATATTTGAGTCCACATGTCGAAGCCATCGACTTTGCCTAAACTTGCGGGACTCCCTCCTGAAAAAAACGAAAAATACGCCAAGGTCGGGTGTGGTCCTATCCAGTCAAGGGGTTGCTATTCCGCCTGCAATTATGCTATAAGAAGTGCTTCCTAACATATACAAAACTTGTAAGTATAAAAACGGCGGGGACGACGACAAGAACAGGACATCTTTCATTTAGCGACAACACAGAATGGCACAACGATAAAACCGCCCCCAAAGGTTTCAACGCTCTCAAAGAGGGAAAGGAGGTTATTGTGTAAAGGAAAGGGAATTCACTGTAAATATAAAAGTTAAAAACGCTGGCGTCAATACGGGGTATCACCAATATAGTTATTTCCGATTACTTGGAATTCGACCTTTGTCATTATCAATGATAATGAAGATGCAGAAATATTGTTGTTTACAGTCCCAGAGGGAAATGTGCTATAATATAAAAGTTTAAAAAGCTCTAGCGTCACGACGAGGTGTCAGTAATCTAGTCATCTTTGGTGTTAGGAATTTGACCTCTGTCTTTGTCAGTGATAATGAAGGTGCAGAAATGTTGTTGTTTACAGTCCCCATGGCAAATGATTCAATGATTTCTCTCCCAAATCTGTTGTTGTGCCCGCCCAGTATTCTAGTATCAGGGAAATAAGGAGTACAGTCATCGCACGTGCGGCTGTGAACGACAATTGGGTGATACGACTCATTTGAAGCCTTTGATGCTTCCAAGTTCTGTACTCTTAGTGGATGGTTGACGCATCTCCCAGTCTGTCCGATGTACTGACTGTCCCCGCTGTTTTTATACTTTCAAGTTTTGTACCTATTAACCAACACGCTCCTTTTCAATTGTAACTGCCACGTTTTCGAGCCATGTTTCGTCCAAACCCCAACTGCGTTTCTTCGGTTTTCAACCCGGTGTCCTTTCTGGAAGCTGCCTTCTTTATTTCAAAGATGACCCAACTTCGCCTCCGACTGCGTTCGCTGGGACTCTACCTTCGCAAGAATTTGCCTCATCCCTCTGTAGAGCTCGCAATTGGGTTCCGCTGCAACAACTGGGCTTCATGCTACCGAGTAATGCAGATTACAAGAAAGGAAATTTCTCATGAAATTCACGTGATGGAAAGAGTGCTTCCCTCCCAAATGGAAAAACGTTTCGGGCGAGGATTCAGTGCCCGAACGGAGTACAAGTTCCTCATGGATGCTGCTGCCAGTCTGCTTCAAGCTTCATGGAATAAACTGCTCAAGAAAGTCAACACCTCGTGCATACAGGTAAAGACCACCAAGTTTGAACCTCCCGTGATGCTTTCCAAGAAACAACTCTCCGCTGCCACAACGGATCTGCTGTCGAGGGGACAAAAGTTTGCTCCACATCTTCCTTCGTTGAAGGTGGACCAGCTAGCCTCCGTGCATCAAGTCGCGTCGTCTATCCCTGAACATCAACGGCAAGACTTTCTGGGCTCGGCAGTGCGCGCAGTGTGTCACCATCCACCCCCTCGGACAAGCAGGCTTCCACTACGTGCGGCTGTGCAAGAACTTTGCCAAGAGCATAAAAAATTACTGGAATCGGAAAAGCCGGGTGTTTTTGTAATTTTGGAGGAAAGCGCTTTTAATGATAAGGTTCTTTATGCCCTGTCAAAGAACTTTGAGCCCCTAGGAACTAGGCCTTCGGGTAGACTGCGCTCGAGGGCAAAGGAACTTTGTTCCTCCTTGAACTTGACATCTTTTAAGAACGTCATTGGTAGTCCTGCCAAACAGTATTTGTCTGTGTTCTTTACTGCAAAGACTCACAAGGATGGAGTTCCCTTCAGGAGTATAATTTCAGAAATTGGCTGTTCGCAAAAATCCTTGGGTCGTTATCTGCAAAAACATCTGTCTACTATCATCCTCCCTCAGCCTTTTAGAGTTCAAAACTCCTTTGAATTAATCCCCCGCTTCGATTCGCTTCCATTTTAGTTCTATTCCGCACTAAATTATGTCTTTCGACATAGAAGATATGTATTACAGCCTAGAACCAAAACTCATCCTAGATTATGTGACTAATGCGATCCATGAACACGGAATTTGCGACTTTCAAAATTCCTCCGGTGTTTCGGTTGAGGGCTTCATTGACCTGATAGATATTTACTTGCAGTCCACTTTAGTAGAATACGAAGGAAAGATTTACAGACAAAAGAAGGGAGTTTGTATAGGATCTTGCTTTGCGCCTGTCCTTAGTGAGATATTTCTTCTTTTTGTTGACAGGGCTATCAATGATCAGTTGGACAAGTCTTTCCAGGGTTGCCTAGTGTTTAGATACGTTGATGACTACTTGGTCATTTATCCAGACGCGGTGTCCGCTGACAGCATCTTTGAAGTTTTCAAAGACTGTGCGGCCGGACTAACTTTTACCCGGGAAAATCCTTCAACGGAAGGATTACAATTCCTTAATTTACGGTTGCATCCTCATTCCTCAGGTCTTTGTTGGGTCTTCCTGCAGAGGTCGGAGAAGCCAGTCCTCCATTTCACCAGTGCTCACTCCAAGTCAGTTAAGCATGGCGTAGTAAGGTCACTCTTCAAGTCCTCATACTCCAAATCGTGCACGCATTTCTCTGAAAGTAGCCTGAAGTTCCAGCAGCAGATGTTGGAGAAAGCAGGCTTTCCTGCTGACCTACTTCGTTCCACCCTTGAGAGGTTAATTTTCAAAGCACAATTTCCGCAAGCTGTTTCCAAAAAGAAAGGTCGTTTCGCTGTCATTCCCTACACGCACGATTCCGCGCACCGTTTAAGATCTATCGCGTCCAAGTTCGACACGAGTGTCGTTTTCTACTGTCGCATGCGCCTAAAAAAGATGTGTAAAATGGTTAATAGGAGCGACAGTCCCAGAGGGTGCAACGTAAAGCATACCAAAAAGTTTGTAGAATGTGAAGAAAGAAAGGTTTATTCAATTCCGCTAAGCTGTGGCAGTCAGTACATCGGACAGACTGGGAGATGCGTCAACCATCGACTCAGAGAACACAACTTGGAAGCATCAAGGCTTCAAATGAGTCCTATCACCCAATTGTCGTTCACAGCCGCACGTGCGATGACTGTACTTCTTATTTCTATGATACTATAACACTGGGTGGGCACAACAACAGGTTTGGGAGAGAAATCATTGAATCATTTGCCATGGGGCTGTAAACAACAACATTTCTGCACCTTCATTATCACTGACGACAGAGGTCGAATTCCTAACACCAGAGATGACTAAATTACTGACACCTCGTCGTGACGCCAGAGCTTTTTAAACTTTTATATTATAGTACATTTCCCTTTGGGACTGTAAACAACAATATTTCTGCATCTTCATTATCATTGACAATGACAAAGGTCGATATCCAAGTAATCGGAGATAACTATATTGTTGATACCCTGTACTGACGCCACCGTTTTTAACTTTTATATTTACAGTGAATTCCCTTTCCTTTACACAATAACCTCCTTTCCCTCTTTGAGAGCGTTGAACCTTTTGGGGGGCGGTTTTATCATTGTGCCATTCTGTGTTGTTGCTAAATGAAAGATGTCCTGTTCCGTCGTCGTCCGGGCTGTTTTTATACTTTCAAGTTTTGTATCTATTAACCAACACGCTCGTTTTCAATTGGTCCTAACATAGTCTTTGTTCTATTTTTGAGACAATCTTTGAAGTACCTCCGAAACGTTTATTCAGTAAAAAGTTTCTTTTTCCTACATCCAATGATGGGAGCTGGTTACTTTTATTTATATTCTCGCGCATGAAATCAAGCAGATCTATGTAGAACTTGAAGAAAGCATTAATAGGCATGAACATGGGACTACAACTAAAACAAGAGGTTTCAAGAATTATGCGTTGACGAGGGAGGGTCAACTTTCCTGAAGCTGTGAGTTGCCACTGCTATCGTGGAATGTCCCGGACCAGAACAGTCGATGCCAACCAAGAGTGGGCTGGGACTTTCCAGGCAAGTACAGAACTATAAAAGAAACATCTGAGCCCCAGTTGGGTTCAAACCCCGGTCGTCTGTGTGTCAGTCACGCGCGTTGCCAACTTCACCATGCAAGCGCCAATATGTTAATTGAAACAAAATTGAACGTAAACTGGTGATACAGCAAATAGCCTTATTTTCAGATACCCATTATCAATCACGAAGCGGAAAGATTTCGACAATTTGTTGAACTGAGTATGTCAGATTTTTGAAAGCATGAACGAGCTAAAAATGTAATTTACATCAGCAGTTTAAGTGCTGGAATGCCAGTCAGGACTCATACCTTACCTATTACAGCACGTTCGACGACGTCCTTAAAAAAACACTAGCATAATAAAGCGCTGATATTTAAAACCAGTTTCACAAAATAAACCTTATGCTGTATAAAATGAGCGCACTTTTACGTCGCGAGTCTTATATGGCCGACTCAGAAGAATGAAGCTATTTCGTGGTCAGAGTGCCAAAATAGATGCACGTTTGAAAATCGTTTCTAGTTGGTAATGTGCCTCGAGGCATCCATGTCGCACAGACACTTTTTTTCTCACTTTTTCTAAAGGTCTCAAGTCCAGAACCTTAAGAATGATTTTTTAGTTGTTCATAGCCCCTCGAAGAAGATTTCTGTAGACTATTTTGCCCACACCTTACATAAAAAATCACCGATCGGCAGTGTCTATAAAAGTCACCAACCTTAAACCACCTTCTCGCAAGACAATCTGACAAGGTAGATCGCGTACCTCCGTCTTGTCCACAATGAATCACACAGATTTTGCAGAACACCTCCAGGTTTCGTTTGACCGTTAGCCAGAAGGTACGAGGCGGGAAAAATGAGTGGACACATATGACAGAACTTAGAACGCACGAATACCTTCATTCGCCTCGGTTTCGGTTTTTGTATGTCTATACTTATCAGGATCTCCGACAGCCTCAGTACACTTTCTTCATACATCTTGCAGTTCCTACTGCCCTGGCCAAGGAAGATCAGGGACCGTGTGTGGTAACGCATCGCAGCTCGAAGCACATGCTGCGAAAACTAAAATCCCCATACCATCGCGCGGTCGTCTACTCTCACTAATGTCTGAGCCCAATGCTTACGCAGACTCGTTTCCAATTCGTGTCCAACATTGGACTTCGCCCGATAACGCAAAAATGTCACCACTACGGCATTGTCTAGCAGGCCGTGCTGGCTCTTAACTCCGCTGGAAATGACGTCAGTTGTTGTAGTAGAAATTGGTGTAGTTTGTTGTCGTTGGTGATGTTGCTGTTGCCGGTGGCAACTCCAACATCAGCATTGATGTCTCCAAATACTTGTAAAAAATGGCTCTACGCCTGCTGGAATCGAACCCGGGACCGTTGTGTGTGAACCATTTCACAAGCTTTTTTTTTTTTCTTATACCGTTTGTTTTAGTTACCAAATAATATACAGAGCACTCAATTTTCGCAAAATTGTTGCGCTTATTTCTCTTTGCACAAAAGACACGCCATACAATGCTAAAAAAAAACCACTTTAAACTTAGGAATTTTGTAGTACCCAATGCCCACTGCAAACGCTTTCTAAAATAACACATAAAAACCAGCCTATAGAAAAATGCCGGCGTACACTGTCAATGCCAAGAGCTCGTGCCGGAAAACACGCTTTCACCTGCTCCGGATAAAAAAAAATGTTCAGAATGAAAAAGCATAGAGTTATTACAATAAACGCTAGAGGCTCAGCTGGCGGTAGTGTCTATAAGACTTCCTGTTGCAAATTGAAGCAGACAGCATGCAGTCTATATTTCCAGCCTACCTATGTATTCCTATGGGAAAACGCGCGTGAATTTTGTCTCTTCGCCGGAAAATAACATAAAAAACTTTTGTCATTTCGGTTGTACCGGATAGTATATACCTTTATTAGTATTGTGAAAGCGTAATTGCTTTAGTTACAGCATTTTTATTTACTACTGAACTATGTTAAACTTCGCTCTATTTCAGATCCAAACCTCTGTTCAAGGAAGGTATGTAAAAACGAGCGACGATTCTAAGCAAACTAACGATCGAAAGGAATGTAGAGTGTGTTCAAGGTTTGCTAGCATTTCGGTGGTGCTTATATATTGCTAATATGCCCGTCCTGTCATTGGATGAAAATGACTCCGTCGTGCATCTTTACGATCGGTTAAAAAAACATTCCACCGCAGAAAATAAAGCAAATGAACTACGAAAGAAGTGTCTATTTATTATTTCCTATGTCGGGCACTTTTTATTGGGCACCTGCCCTCTGACTCCTGCAAAGATTTGGAGCGTGCGGGTGATGGGTGATGATTTGAAGTCCCAGAACAACCATCTTCGCACATATTCATGAGCAGGAATAAAGCAGTACTTATTTACTGCAAATCAGACTATTTACATGGCATTCAAATTATTTTGATCGTCTGGATGCACAGGGAGTTACTTATCCAGTGTTACTGCCTAGTTCTTGCCGTCTCTCTTGGTTTTTCACGTGTCCTTCGTTCGTTTGGCACGTATATCCCTCATGCTAGAAAGCGTCGACGCCGAGTTCGAGCTAACAGTGTCCGACAGTGCACATAAATACACGTACGAAGCGGTTTTAGCACCGTTTTTCATGCCGCGAATTTTCAATAAAAATACTGTAACTGACCAATTATTTCGTCTGCGTGACTGACAAATGTTCCGAAATATGCCTAGTACGTACAAATTATTCGTGATATTTGCTCTTATAATCGAGCGCAGAGAGAAAATGCACTCGTTTTTTCCCATAGAAATGCATTACTGGTAGTCAATTTCTGACTGCTTGCTGTCTGCTTCAAAATGCAACAGCACACTAGCGCCAGCTGAGCCTCTAGCGTTTATTGTAATAATTCTATGTAAAAAATAACAAAAGAAAGTCGTTCGGAACAAATCAGATGTCTATTTTGTTCCGAACGGGTTTGTCCACGCCTCTCACGGCGGGTGAACGCGATGCCGGTCACTGTACTCTAAATTAGCGCAAAACTGCTCTTTGTTTTTCTCTTTTTTTTGTGGGGGGAGGGGGGAAGGGGGGTAACGGGGGTAACGGTGATCGGTTCAGTGAGTGATGGCAAACTCAGAAAGACAACGAGAGCCATGACACCGCGCTTTTGGCGCCGTTTGATCAACACCACCTAGACAGAAGGCCTCCGCACGCCTCATCCCAGTCAGATCGACCGAGGCGTGAGATTGCGCACGAGTGCCGTGTCAGGTGTTCCGCTGGGGCTCTTGTGCAATCAGCGCGTCGCAGGTCGGGCTCAAGCCCAATAGCCTAGTTAGCGCGATTGGACCCTGATGACGTTTATTAGAGGGAAAGGAGCCCATGCGGAACCCTCCTGTCTAGGTGGTGTTGGCTTGATCGGCTTAATCGAATCGTTGGGAGAGCTCGTCCGTTCCCTTTCAAATCACTTTCTGCAGTCTAAACAAGACACACAAAACAAATACATCATTGCACCGACTATAACGACTAGGCGAGCTATGCGAACACCGCCTAGAGGAGAAGGCCTGCTCTTTTTGCCCCCAAGCGTCATCAGTTGTTCAGTCATGCAGCGCAACCTAGCTTGCGTCTGCCTCGACGCCAGAGCACCTTGCAGCGTCTTAGAACGAAGGCGATGCTAGCACGCGGCGATATGAAGACGGACGCGTTTGCCAATTTTGTGGGGGCGTTCGTCAAGCGTCGGCGTGTTTGTCGCTTGGGGAGGGTCGGGGACCGGAGATCCAGAGCCGTATGTTGGGAGAGTTTGGCCAGTTTATAATCTCACCGCCGTAACGCCCCCCTCGCGAGTGAACCAATCGGCCCACGGAGCAGAGTGAGAGGCGCGAGCACGTGCGCGTGAACTCCCGGCGGCTCGCAGCTGTGCGGGAAGGGCATCTATTTTCATTCATTCGCCTACTGGAATGAATAAACTGGACATCCAAACAGCAATTCCTTATATTTCGCTGGCTCTGACAGGAAAATAATATAGTGTTATTCTTCGGTGGGTTGAAAAGCTAACAAATGAAGTCTTCTCAAAGACTGACTGCCCACTTTTATTTAGGCGAAAAAGAGTCGGCCCGGAGCAGAGGACTCGTAGCTTCAACAGTGCTCTGCACTGAAAACCTGTCGTACCAAAATGGCGTTCTTTGCTTCCTCCTTCTCGTTCCTTCGGCGCTCTCTCCCTTTATTTCACTTTTCTCCTCTCCTGCGCCGTCGTCGCCACACCTACTGTCCAAACTCTCCCAATGTACGGCTCTGCAGGCAACCACTAAGGATGAGGTTATACGCAGGCCTTCTCTTTTAGGTGGTATTTGGCTACGTACGGCGTGTGATCTTGGACGATGCGTACCGGCTGCAGAGTATAGAGTGGGTAGCCAGTCGGTGATGTGCATCATCTGGTTCGACACTCTCTGCCTCTGGTTGAGAAGAGGGCTCCAGATGAAGGCACTGGCCTTGGTTCCCCCTTCCCAGAGGGTGCCTTTGGCTCCACGTAAAGGAAAGTTGAAGCCACTATTGGACTCCTGTCCAAAGGGAAGGCCGCCATTGTCGCTGCTCATCACGAGGATGGTGTTGTCCAGCATGTCCGCCTCAAACAGGGCCTCGAACACGTCCCCGATTGACTCGTCCAGCGCGTCCGTCATACCTGCAAGGCGAACCATCCAATTTAAACGACATTCAGACAAAGACCAATGAGTGCTCGTTATACAGCAGTGAGCAGATGCGTATCCTCCCCTGTGCTGAGTTACCAAGTGAGTTCAGAGCAAGAACATTGAACCCGCTGGAAAACGTAAAGCGTCGTCCGCGGTGCCGAAAGATATGACGGGAACAGTAGTTAGAGAGCCAGTTGTAGCAGACGACTGAGCCGACGGATAAGCAACAGGAAAGAGAACGAGAGCATGTCAAGCAACTGCAATGCTCTGCTCTCTTTCTCTTCCGTTTCACGTTTTAGATGCTTCGGGTGCAGAGAGTACAGGGGTTTGGGCGCGGCATTTAGAGATTTTTCATAACTTCCATCGTCGCCCGGAGGCAGTAGGATAAAGGGAAAGTGCAGCGATCGCATTGGAACTGCCATGGAATTGAAGCGGTCATTATCCAGATCAAAACAAGCATTTCCGGTAAGACGTTAGAACACATTATTTACACTGAATCGGTCATCCCGATGAGACCTTTTTCCACTCAACGCGACAAGGGTTTAAGAAGGGATTCTCTTGTGACACACAATAAACCCATTGCTAAATTACCCAAGCATCAAGGAGAATGCAGGAATTAGTGTTCCACGCGACAACACGCTCACGCCTTTCCCGTATAAAAGATTCCAAATAAATAACAAAAAAAAAGCGTTGACGAACGCTCGTGCAAGATGCACTTTGTTTTAGGCATTTGTATTTGCTTTAGAAAAGTTACTACTGCTGAGTCCAGCACGTGCGGCGCGTCGACTACCAATCCCTGCATTCTCCTTGATGATTGGGTAATTTAGCAATAGGTCTATTAGTAGAGTTCACCCATGCCCTCGCTGCTTCAATAAACTCTAGCAGTCAGGTTGTCTGAATTTTTTTTAAACTTCCGCAAGGCATTTGTTTTTGTATGACGTAGTCAGTTAATGCAAAACTTAACTACAGGTCATATTCCAGACACTTTTTTATGGCTTCAAACTTATATACTTGGAAGAGATCAAAACGTTGTCTTAAAAGGTGCAACTTTGTCAAGTGTTCCGCGAGGTGCTGGTCTGGGCCACGTTCTCTTCTTGATATATGTAATTGATTTCGCTCTCCATGTTTATTACCGTGTCCCAGTATATACTGGGCGATAACAGTGTTTCGCAATATCTATCGCGATTTGAAAAGTTAACTTTTGCAAAATGACCTTAATTTTATCCTATCGTGGTGTCCAACGTCGTAGATGGCTCCCAACTTTAACTAAATGCAATTACGTGCAAAAAAAAGAAGAAGAAAAGAACACCTATAACTACAGATTATTTTCTTGATCGCCAGCTACCCCCGACCAGGAGGCGCCAGCAAAAGTGAGAACCCACGGTTGTACCTTGTCTCGGTGTAAATTGGCAAAGGTTGAAGGCTACGCCCTACATTGCGTTCCGACGGCTTCGATATGTGCCACGTATACGAGCGCAACGCTCACAAATTGGAGCATGACGCAGCGATACACCCGCCACTTCTTCGCAGTAAAAGCGCAAGCTGGCAATACGTTAGATGGATGTATGGATAGATGTTAAGGGATATACGCTTTGTAACGGGCGGTAGCTTGTCCCACCTAGGAGGAGCGGAGTCGCGTGCCTTCCCCGGTTCTCCAGACTGTCACGCAGGGGCAGCAGCTTCCGCCGTAGTGGCATGTTATGCGCTTACGGCTTCCTGGCCTGCCCAGCATGTCTTCCCGTTTCCATTCTTTGGAAGCGCTAATATTTTAGTTTTGAATTTAGGTGGGATGATAGTAGCCACGTTGCAGGTGCTAAAAACGTTTCCAGAGACAAAAAAAAAGGTTTTTTTGTTTATTCTTCTATCCTTGAAAATATATTTGTCTTTTGCAAGCGACGATGCGGTTGCCACGGAGACACGCATGCGCAAAGTTTGCCAGTCTTTCCGGTGAAGCGGAAAGCATCCATGGCTGCTGGGAACCTATGGGGACGTTGTTTTATAGACTTTCGCAAATACTTACTGAGTGTACCGTAACTCCTGAGTAAGAGACACAATTCTTGGAATGTTTATTCACAATATTTGAGAATTATGTTGGTGCGAAAGCGGCATCATATTTGTAACATCGTTCACGTACGAGGTGATCACTGACCAAACGACTTTTTTTTTCTCAAAATTATCAGTATCAAAGGCGCATGGCTAATCTTTGGTGGCGGCGATTGGATTAGCGTGTCGTCGCGTGTGTGTTGTGCTTGTGTGTCAGGTGTGTTCTAATTACCTGTCTATGTTAAATGTATAATACGTGTGCAAAAGTGAAATAAGAGCTGTGCCAATGCAGTATTGTGGGCGTTCCAGAGGGGAACGAAACACGTTCCTCATTACTTGCAAATAAAAAAAAGTGAAAGCCGTTTACAAATCCCTGTAACGCCGAATTGGAGCGCAGCTCTTGAGGAGGAGGAGTGAAGGGTACTGAGGGGAGGGTAGACCCCTCCTCCTCCCCTCATTCTTTAATATGCTCCGAGGGGGCGGTCACGTGACCTCGGGGGGGGGGAGGTGTCACGTGACTTCGGGGAGGGGGGGTCACGTGACCTGGGGGTCACGTGGGGGTCACCTTGGGGTCACGTGACCTTGAGATGACCTTGGGAGGGGTCACGTGACCTTGAGGAGGAGACCACGTGACCTCGGGGGTCACGTGACCTCAGAGGGGTCACGTGACGTGGGTCACGTGACCTTCAAAGGGTCACGTGGGGTCTTGGGGTCACGTGACCTTGAGATGACCTTGGGAGGGGTCACGTGACCTCGAGGGGTCACGTGACCTTGGGAGTCACGTGGGGTCACGTGACCTTGAGATGACCTTGGGATGACCTTGGTTACGCCGACGGCGACGCCGACGGCAACGGCGACGGCGACGCCGCTCAAGCCGGGAACGGGCCCCTAAGAGCTGCGCTCTAAAAAAGTGAAAGCCGTTTACAACTCCCTGTAACGCCGAATTGGAGCGCAGCTCTTGAGGAGGAGGAGTGAAGGGTACTGAGGGGAGGGTAGACCCCTCCTCCTTCTCCTCCTCCTCCCCTCACTCTTTAATATGCTCCTGGGGGTCACGTGACCTCGGGAAGGGGGAGTCACGTGACTTCGGAGAGGGGGGGTCACGCGACTTCGAGGAGGCGTGATCTAGGGGTCACGTGACCTTGGGAGGGGTCACGTGACCTCGGGGGTCACGTGACCTGGGGTGGCCTTGGGGGTCACGTGGGGGTCACCTTGGGGTCACGTGACCTTGAGGTGACCTTAGGAGGGGTCACGTGACCTCGGGGAGTCACGTGGCCTGGAGGGGCCACGTGACTTGGAGGGGTCACGTGACCTCGGGGGTCACGTGACCTTGGGGAGGGGCCACGTGACCTCGGGGTCCTATAACCTTGGAGGGGTCACGTGACCTGGGGTTTACGTGACCTTGGGGTGACCTTGGGGTCACGTGACCTTCAGGAGGTCACGTGGGGGTCGCCTTGGGGGTCACGTGACCTTGAGGTGACCTTAGGAGAGGTCACGTGACCTTGGGGGGGGTCAAGTGACTCCCCAAAGGTCACGTGACCTGGAGGGGTGGGGTCACCTTGGGGTCACCTTGGGAGTCCCGTGACCTTGAGATGACCTTGGTTACGCCGACGGCGACGCCGACGCCGCTCAAGCCGGAAACGGGCGCCTAAGAGCTGCGCTCTAAAAGAACGCGTTACCGTCCTACATTACCTAAAAAAACGCTTTAACGGTAAAACGTCACGCACCTTACTTTTCCGTTCGTTTCCTTTAAGTATGAATTAACACGGTTTACTATTTCGAGGTTGCAGGTTTGCATAAGCCTCATATTTCAAGTAACATTATGTTTATGCAAAAACTGAATATCATCACTTGATCTTTTTTTAACGGTTTCACCTAAGTACTCAAAAGAACTAACGCAAGAAAAACGCAAAACAACTCAAACATTCACATAGCTTGGAGCCTAAAAACACGAAAATATTTTAAGTCTACATTTCTTTAGTCTTGGAAGGAAAAAGTAGCGAGTTACGTAACCACGTTACACGTTACTCGAAATAAGTAACGTAAGTACGTTACCCTTTATTTCTTTGAAAATGCAACGAGTTCAACTGAATGGGTTTGATGGGCTGAGAGGGTCCCTTAACATCAGGGCTTAAGTGTTATTTTCAATGGGGTTGTAACGCGTTTCCGTCAACACTATACAAATACGAATGTAATAAACGTAAAAACGAATCGATCTCAGCAATAACAATTTTGTTTTCTAATTTTGAAATAGAGGTTGACTAGCGCCACCTAGTACTTGTGATTGTTAGTGTCAGTTACTAGCTAAAGGTAGTGAAATGTACTGGATTAAATAGGAACCGTTACTAAATTTTTGAACTAGTAGCCGTGAGTAGCTTGACAGTTAATACCTACAGTTACTAAGTCCCAAGTAACCTATGTGACAAGCGGTTACTTGTATGTATGTATCTATCTTTATTTCAGACACAAAAAAGGGTCCTGGGGGCTGGGGCAAAAGAAGACGAGTTGTCTTCTGACGAGGCTCCAGCCCCTTTTTTACAGCACTCGGAGGAGACACAGGAAAATAAACAGAATAAATATACAAAGAAACAGCAATTTTAAAATCCACAACAAACACAACAACACACACAACTGTCAACTTCGTCCTAACTGCAGATCATGAGTGATTTAGTACATATTCTACAATCCTTTTTTTAAAATAGACAAACGAAATGTGTGCTTGGGCCATTTCTGCTATGTTTGGGTGTTTGTTTAGTGGATCTGGTACGAGATATGTAAGGTGCTGTGTACCGTAATTAGTTCGAACCCTGGGTTTCGTATACTGTGCATTTCTAAGACTGTAATTTGCCGAGGTTTGATTGAAGATATAAAGAAAGGGCGCTTCGTTTTGTCTAGTTTTATTAAAAATAAATATAGATAATTTGAGAAGCAGGATTTGGTCTATATTTAATAT